AGAATCTGCCGCTGGTGGGCCAGGTGGGGCTCGGGGCGGATCTGGTCCGGCTCGACGGAAGCGCGATGTGCTCGCCGGGATTCTCGTGCGACTCGGCCCTGCAGGTGACCTACATAGTGAAAGGCAGCGGGCGGGTTCAGGTGGTGGGCGTGGACGGGAAGAAGGTTCTGGAGGCGACGTTGAAGGGAGGGAATCTGTTCATAGTGCCCAGATTCTTCGTGGTGTCGAAGATTGCAGATCCGGAGGGGATGGAGTGGTTCTCCATAATCACAACTCCCAATCCAGTCTTCACCCATCTCGCCGGAAGCATTGGGACTTGGAAGGCTCTCTCGCCGGAGGTTATTCAGGCCTCCTTCAATGTCGATCCTGACTTACAGAAGCGCTTCTCCTCCAAGAGGACTGCTGACGCCATCTTCTTCCCTCCTTCCAACTAAACTGTTTTGTTTTGTTGGTGTTTTAATTTTCCAGCCACAATAAAACTCTCTCTCCCTCCCTCTCCTCTGATCTCCTCCTTTTCTTCACAGTTGCGTTAGGGATTTTTGTTTCTCTTTGGGTTTTAGTTAATTATTTGCTTTTGTTAATGCTTAGTTTTTAATTTCGAATATTCAGTAATAATTTTGCAAATTATGTTTGTCACTGTGGCCCATGTTTTTTGTTTCCCTTTTTGAGTTTTTCTTCTATTCTAGTTTCTTATAATTTCAACAAGTAACCAAAATACTTTTTAAACTGTTATAGGATTGAGTCACAAATTTTAGTGATTTGGTTGAGTCAAATCTTTAAAAGATTCATATTAACTCACCAAAACTTAAATTCTCAGATTAAAACCTTGCTTCTTAATTTCTAACAAAAAAAAAAAAATTATAGATACGGAAACTGAAAACTAATTTTCGTTACCAAACAAGCCCTTAACTTTCTTCAATCTTAATTAAAAACTCATATAAGGTAGGCTCAACTGATTGAATATTTGGGTCATAATTTTTTTATTTAATATTCTTTGTTTCTATAATGAAGGAAAAGAAAATTTAGAATCCTATGTCTCATGGGACTCACATGAGAAGATGAGAATTTGATTCCTTTATTATATAATAAAGTTTAGGAATCAATTCTCAGTGCTGGGTGAAAAACTAATCAACCTAATTTTTTTATGTATGCTGCAAAGATGGCAGCAACATGTTTATATTTTGATAATAATTTTATATGAATTATAGATTTTATACTTTCTAAACAAATTTTAAATTCTCAAAAATATAATGTTTTAATTTTAAAATGATTTAACATTGAACCTATTAACTTTGGTGAATCAAAGTTTACCTAAAAATTAAACTATCTATTTGGAAAGTGTGAAATGAATATTTTTGGTCCTTCAACTCCAACTAAACTAATTTGAGAAGAAAACATATATACAGGTAAGTAATCCCACAAATTTATAAATAAATTAAATTATTAATTTAATATATTACAATTTATCCTCTACAAAATTGATCCAAAACCTCATGTCAAAGGCACAAATTCGTATAAAGATATATTTGAACACATCGATATGATATCAGTTTATATATTTTTATATTAGTTTGTACCTCAATAAGAAGTATAACTAATTTTTCTATATAAATATTAGAGAACGATAATGAAACCAAAAACAATAATATTATATAATTTGTTATTATTTCATATTTGTAGATACTTTATGCGTGTAAACTGTAAGGAAAAAAGGGCTTCAATTTACAAAACACAAAAAATATAGCCTATAAAACATGAAATTCTAAATTATTTAGTTTTTTTTTAATTTTTTTTATGTTTTTTTCTTATAAAAGGATTTTATGGATGGATAAATAAAATAATATTTCAATTAAAAAAATTCTCTTGTCTAAAAAAAATGAATTTTGATTAATTTTTAAATAAATAAAAAATATATATACACACCAAAGCAAAAGTTGTGAAGCAATAATTGAATTAATTTGGACATTAACCAAACATAGCTAGCTGGACGGGTTAACATACATTTATCTTCCACCCCACAAGTTGATGTACTCAAGAAAAACTAAATAATTTGGACACCATCATTTTATAGTGCGTACCCTTCTTTAACAGAGGTGCAACAAATCGACCTAAACTAACCAAATCAAATTTGTTTGGTTTAATTAATGGTTCAATAAAATTATGTTGGTTCAGTTTGGTTTTCTACGTCTGATTTGAACCAAACCAAATCGATTCGATTGAACACTTTCCTATTTTGAACAAAATCTAACTAAACCTCTGTTTCTACCTTTTGGTTTTGGCACCTTCGTATTTGGCTAACGAATAGATATATTACTAGAACTTTTTTTTCTTGATGAAATATAAAATAGAACAAAAAAATGGCATTCTATCAACTTGAATGAAAGGGTTCAGCTAGCTTGGGGGCATTTGAATACCACTCCTCATAAGACCGTCTTCCATAGCACGTTTTGCTAGGACATGTGCAACCAGATTTCCTTCTCTGAAATGTGAGTCATGAGACCACTCAAATTTCCTCTCTACTATCTTTGTTTCATCTTCTCTAATTCAGAATATATTCGTCAAGTCTTCTTGCTGATGTTGAAGAAGTCGTATCGCCGTTAAAGAGTCTGATTCCAAGTATGGGAAATGTTGATTTCTTGGCGGAACTGTTCTCAATCCCTCCCAAATTGTTGACATTTCAAGGTAATGTATGTCTCTTATATCTCTAATGTACGTGCATCCAGCTTCGATTAAATCTCCTTTCTCATCTCTAATGATCCAACTCAACTCACTGACACCTAGATTCTCTTCTCTTTCCAAACCGCATTAGTATTCAACTTCAAAGCATGGTTCAGAGGTGGGTTCCATCTAATTGTCTAAATCAGGTTCAGATTCCGTCTTACTGAATTGTCTTGTATTTGCCTCTAGGATGTTAATTGTGAAATATTTTTGTCAATAACTGATTGCATTCCTTTAATTGTGAAATATTTTCATTATTCTTTTGCCTCCTCTTTTGGTTTATTGTCGTACATGGTTTCAGAGCTGTGGCTCTCTCCTAACAAATTTATTTATTTTTTGATGGCTTCTTCCTCAAATACCAGCATCCCTTCTACCGACATCTCAATCAGACCGATAATAGCGCCAACGATTACTCCCACTACTCCGGCGATTACTGGTCGTCATTCAGAATCAGACCCATTGCCCCGTGGTTTTGGGTGTGTTGAAAAATGATAGCTTAATTTACACTTGTTTAATCTAATCAGCTTATATTTGCCATTATGGACAGTCACAGATGAGGTGTATTCTTCGTCATTTGCAATTTTATAAGTTAATGCCTTTAATTGACATGTGCTAGACATGTGGGTAGTGATGCCACTCACCAAAATTAGTTATGGCTCATGTCTAAGCATGTGGGGAGCTGCAAAATTTGTTGTGAAGCGTCAAGGAGGTGCGGAGAAATAGCAAGATTGATTTCTGGTTTTACTTCTGTTTTGTTGAGGATTTCTGGGCGAAACAATTCATCAGGGTGTCAAGTCAGATTCCTTCTTTGTGGTCGTTTCTCTTTGTCTTCTCAAGAGATTGTTTCTTTTTCTTCAGTTGGCCCACATCTGTTTTCTTCTTCTTTTTCCAGCCAGTTATATCAACTTTAGTTTCTCCTGCGTCATCTGCTCTTCCTGACCGAGTGTGAGTGCCGTTAAATAATATTATATTTGAATTAGATTCAGTTTACATTATATTATTTAGATTAGATATTATTTGAATTAGATTTAGTATGAAAATCGATGAACACTAACTAATGATCGAGAGTGAGAGAATCTGGAGAATAGGAAATTGAGGGCTCATTTAGTAACGTTCTCTGTTTCTTGTTTCCCATTTCTTGTTTCTAACTTTTTTAGAACTAGAAAAAATGCGTTTGTTAACCATTTCTATTTCTTGTTTCTAAACAAAAATATGTTTGATAACATTTTCTTATTTCTTATTTTTATTTTTAGTTCTTTTAGTACAACAATTTGAGAGGGTGAGAATTTGAACTTGTGATATATTGATTTAGGATATATACTTGAACAAATATTGATTTTTAAAATTCTTGTGGTCTATTTTGTTGCTGAAAATGGTTTGAAAATCGTCTCTAATCACTTGTTCTAAAACAACTATCTTAATTAGTCGTCAATTAACTTCCCTTTTACATCTCTTAAATAATTTGCACCTAAAAATTACACAATACAATTCATAATAATCTCCTAAATCATTTGAATTGCAAAAGTAACTTTTAAGATTGAATTGCAACTATTGAACATAAGATAAATCCAATTTCGAATAGTAAAAGTTAATTGATTAAATTGCAAATATCTCTATCTAGTCATTACATCCAAAAAGAGGAAAAAAAACATACATCAAAAGAGTACAACTCATATGAACTTCAACTTTCTGTTTGTCCCAAAAGTACTGGTCTTCAAGATTAGACAAGATCTACACACCTGAGATGAATAAAATAATATATGGACATGTTATTACATAAAAAAACAAAAGTAGTAGCAAAATAAAGTGGTTAAGTGAGATATGGAGGCCAAAATCATGATGAAACCATAAACTAAAACAATCTTCAACGTGTAAACTCACATAAACTATAAACTAAAAGCATATAAGCTAAAACCATAAACAAGTGTCTTAAAAGAGCCTACGTGCCCTCTAAGACCAGAAACTAGCTTCAAAATCATACTAAAATGTCTATCCGTCCCTCGAAGAAAATGATATATGTAAGAAGTTAGAAAAATATTAAATAAGAAGTAAAACAAACAAACAAAACATCTAGCCCACTAAGCAACACAAATCATGAATGAATTCTCTCCCAACCAAGACTTTCCAAAACAAACAAAGCACAAAACAGTATACAGAATTTGAAAAGCATACCAACTAAAACTAACTTGGAGGAAGTGAATTTCCCTCTTTATCCCTCCGCATAACTACTTACTATCCGGAGCCTTGCATCTAAGCTCCAACCAAGCTCATAAACAAAATGAAAAGTTTTGGAGGTCGTAATACAAATAGTCACAACACCCATCAACTACAGCAGATACAATATAAGCCACACAAATGCTCCCTTGTGAATGTACTTAACAAACACAAGCTATGACTATCATAAAACTGCAGGATAGTCATAACAATTCAACTACATCGAACATCAATATTTAAAATAACATGCATCAAATATCTAGTGAAGCTCTATGAACAACTATGACTACCATAACTGTAGATAGTCACGACAATTCAACTACATCAAAAACTCATATTTAAAATTACATGCATCAATATCTAGTCAAACTCTATGAACAACTATGACTACTACAACTGCAGGATAGTCACAACAATTCAACTACATCAAAAACTCATATTTTTAAAATTACATGCATCAACATCTAATCAAGCTCTATGAACAACTATGACTACTGTTATGGAGAACGAAAATGACCCGAAACGAGACAAGGAGTTGAAGTCTGATTGGGGAAGACTGGCCCGGGACATAACGGGTCGGCCAAAAGAGTGACCTAACGCCGGGGCAGAGAACGAGGAAAGCGACCAGAGGGAAGCCCACTGAGCCACGAAGGGCTCGGCCCCGACCCGGTGCTCGGCCCCGACCCGGGGCTCGGTCCCGAGCCGTGCTCGGCCCACGACCCAGCCAGTGATCCCCCGTCTTCGATCGACGATGTCGCCCAGGCCCTGCAACGGTGAATTAGGGTTAGCTACGGAAGATTCTGGAACAACTTCACGCTATAAGTATTGATCCAGCCTTAGAGGTATAGGGGGAAGAGAGTTGACTACATTTACGTTATTCTCTTGCTAACTTAAGCATCRGAGCCCGTGTGACTAGAGTCACACCGGTTTAGCTCGATTTGATTTTGCAGGTACTAGTCCCGGATCAACAAGTTTGGTGGATGCGAGGTAGTGAACCGGAGGACCGAAATCCACGCATCAACAATTGGCGCCGTCTGTGGGGACGATACAGCAAAACGAGTTTCGTCGAAGCAAAATCCCGATCTGAGGTGAAATTTCGATCCAAGGCGTGTAGGGTGCAGTGGCCGACCATTCAGGCGAGGTAGGACGAAGCCCTGATCATCGACTTGGTCCGAAAGCGACATGAATCCTGATGAGAGCCATCGGTGCTTCGAAGAGAAGAGCCTGAAAAAAGCGGCTGATCACTTAGATGAGGCAAGACCGAGCCCTGATCGTCAACTTAATCCGACCACCCTTGACGGGGGAGAACCAGTGTCGGGCCTGAATAAAGCGACAGACCTCTCGGGAAAGGCGAGGCCGAGCCCTGGTTATCGACTTAATCCGACCACCCTTGATAAGGGAGGACCAGTGGCGGGCCTGATTAAAGCGACAGATCTTTCGGGAGACGCAAGGCCGAGCCCTGGTCATCGACTTAATTCGACCACCCTTGACAGGGGAGAACCGGCTGAAGAGGTAGAATCTGTCCCTCTGACAGCCGAAGATCGACGGGTCAACATCGGAACCAAGTTGGGGAGTGAGGAAAGAGAAAGCCTTATAAACTTCCTCAGAAGCAACGCTGATGTGTTCACATGGTCACCGGAGGACATGCCGGGAATCGACCGAGGAGTTATGGTACATCGACTCAACGTCGACGAGAGCTGTAAGCCAGTGAAACAGAAGCGTCGTGCGTTCAACCAAGAAAGGAACGAGATTGTAGCTGAACAGGTGGATGAGCTACTGGAAACAGGCTTCATTCGGGAAGTACATTATCCCCTATTCTATTAGAATAGCTTGGCAACCCCTACCTCTTAAAGCTGAAGTAAGGTATTCATGCTGGTGATCTTACAGCCAACTAATCTCGATGAAGGCGCTCCACTACTGGCTTTTGCTTTTTCTTCGGTGACTCTCAACGAGATTGGAAGAGCAAGAAAGAGACAGTGGTTGCTCGCTCTAGTGCAGAAGCCGAGTAAAGGGCTCTTGCTGATACTACATCAGAGATTATTTTGTTGGGATGGTTACAACAAGATATGGGAGTCACTTTTTCTGGGCCTACTATTCTCATTTGTGACAACAAGAGTGCCCAGTGGATATCCAACGTGGTGCTGGTAAAGAAGCCAAACGGCAAATGGAGAATGTGCATCGACTTCACGAATCTAAATAAGGCCTGTCCAAAGGATTCTTTTCCTTTGCCTCGAATAGATCAACTGGTTGATGCCACTGCAGGACATGAAAGATTGAGTTTCATGGATGCCTACTCTGGATATAATCAAATCAAGATGCATGTACCGGATCAGGAGAAAACTTCTTTTGTCACGAGTCGAGGCTTGTATTGCTACACCGTGATGCCGTTTGGATTAAAGAATGCAGGTGCAACCTACCAACGAATGGTGAATCGGATGTTTGCAGCCTTAATTGGCAAAAATATGGAAGTCTACATAGACGACATGCTGGTAAAGAGTCGAAAGAACGAGCGACACGAGGAGGATTTGGCAGAAGCGTTCGACATCTTGCGAAAGTACAAGATGAAGTTGAATCCCACCAAATGCACGTTTGGAGTGACCTCAGGCAAGTTCCTGGGATTTTTAGTGCACTAAAGGGGAATCGTAGCCAATCCAGATAAGATCAAAGCTGTTCTGGAGATGGATCCACCTAAAACTCTAAAGCAGCTGCAAGGACTCAATGGAAGGATAGCAGCACTCAACAGATTCGTGAGCCGTTCCACTGACAAGTGCCTACCATTCTTCAAAATCTTAAGGAAGAAAGGACAATTTGAATGGACGGAAGAGTGCGAGGCTGCCTTTAAGGAGCTGAAACAGTACCTAGGGGCAGCTCCACTYCTCGCAAAGCYGATCGTGGGTGAYGAGYTCTACTTATACTTAGYTGTATCCARCACTGCGGTGAGTTCCGCGTTAATAAAGGAAGAAGATGGACGACAATCCCCAATTTACTACACAAGCAAAGCAATGGTAGATGCAGAACTTAGATACCCACCAATGGAGAAGCTGGCATTGGCACTGGTCACTTCAGCTCGGAGACTACGCCCGTATTTCCAAGCTCACAAAATAATGGTCCTCACCAACTTTCCCTTACGACAGATCTTACAAAAGCCAGACACTTCTGGACGACTGGTAAAGTGGGCTGTAGAGCTCAGCGAGTACGACATTCACTATAAGCCAAGAACTGCCATGAAAGGGCAGGTTGTGGCAGACTTCATAGCGGAATTAACACCAACAGAGCCTCAAGTATATAGTATCGAACCACAAGTGGTTGAGGAAGAACAACTCTGGACACTCTACGTAGATGGGTCCTCAAATTTTCGGGGATGCGGGGCAGGACTCCTACTAATCTCTCCAGATAAAGAAAGATTCGAATATGTGCTGCGATTCAACTTTCATGCATCCAACAACAAAGCCGAGTACGAAGCTCTACTAGCAGGACTAAAAGTGGCCAGGTACGTTGGGGTCAGGAACATACTAATACTTAGTGATTCACAGCTGATTGTGGGTCAGGTGAAAGAGGAGTTCCAGGCTAGAGAACCGCGAATGGCGAAATACCTTTCACAGGTAAGAAACCAGCTCGACCAGTTCTCAAAATATGARATTCRACAAATTCCACGTGCTCAAAACGTCRACGCCGATGCGTTAGCTCGACTAGCTGCGRCTTATGAAACCGACTTAGGCAGAACTGTACCGGTCGAGATTCTACCCGAGCCAAGCATAGAAGCTCAGGAAGCCATGGATATCGACAATCAAGGGCAACYAGAAGAAAACTRGAAGAGCCCTTTGATCAAATATTTGAAAGATGGGATCCTGCCTACTGAAAAGATAGAGGCCCARCAGYTACAACGACGAGCGGCCAGATATGTGCTTAAAGAYGACAATCTGTACAAAAGAGGCTACTCGTTGCCGCTTTTAAAATGTCTAACGCCCGATGAAGCCGACTACGTCATGAGAGAGATACATGARGGTGTTTGTGGGAGCCATTCTGGAGCACGATCCCTAAGTCACAAAATAATTCGACAAGGGTACTACTGGCCGACCATGCTGAATGACACGAAGCAATTTACCAAAAAATGCGACAAATGCCAACGGTTTGCAACCGTACCTAGACAACCGCCAGAGCCTCTGACAAGCATAATGAGTCCTTAGCCCTTTGCTCAGTGGGGAATAGATCTTATAGGGCCTCTCCCACTAGGAAAGGGCCAGACCAAATTTGCAGTAGTGGCAGTCGACTATTTTACTAAGTGGGCCGAAGCCAAAGCCCTAGCGACAATTACAGAGAAAAAGGTCACCGACTTCATCTGGAAGAACATAATTTGCCGCTTCGGAATACCCTACGCCATTATCAGTGATAATGGGAAGCAGTTCGACAATGCTGCCTTTCGAGAATTTTGCAGGGAGTTGGGCATTAAGCACATCTGTTCCTCRCCAGCACATCCGCAKGCTAATGGGCAGGTTGAAGCAGTCAACAAAATTATCAAAAGAACTCTGAAGACCAGATTAGAAAAGCTCAAAGGGTTGTGGGCAGAGGAACTTCYCAACGCATTATRGGYATACAGAACGACACCTTGTACTTCGACAGGAGAAACGCYATTTTCATTATCATTTGGCTCTGAGGCGGTAGTGCCAGTCGAGATCGGACTCCCCTCYCYAAGGGTAGAGCAGTTCACYCTACTTGACAACRACRAATCCGTAAAGCTCAACCTCGACCTATTAGAAGAACATCGAGAAACAGCATGACTACGAACGGCTGAATACAAAAATCGAATAGCTCGATACTACAACTCGAAGGTCAAGCAACGTGACTTTAGAGAAGGTGATCTGGTGTTAAGAAAGRTTATGCCCAATACAAAAGATTCAACTAGYGGTGCGSTCGGGCCAACATGGGAGGGCCCATACAAAGTCACTAAAGTGGTGCGAATAGGCASTTATGCTTTAGAAGACCAGCGGGGGAAGRCCTTACTACACCCGTGGCACGCCCAACACCTCAAAAGATACTACCACTAGTTCGACATATTTCTGGACATTTTTATGTTTCTCCATTATTTGGACCAACTAAGCTTATTGTGACAAAATCTTCGACAGGACGATTTTCCTACTAATAAAGTATTCGACGTTCGACGTGATACTTGAGTTCTTATGTTCATTCTGAAATAAATTTCTCAAGTAGGGGGCATTATATAAATATCTACATATCCACGACCTGAACATCTACATATCTACGACCAATCAAGGAACTCAAAATTGGGACGGACCTAGAAGCAGGCCGATAAGCTGAAAGCCAATCAATGAAACTAGGGAAAAGAATCCCGAGGTGCTAAGAAAGGCATGCGTACGGGCCCAGCAAGGTTAAAACAGAAAACAGGCAAGCCTAACCGATCAACGAAACCCACGGGTAGAAAATCATATGGCAAAAGCCAAAATAGGTTAAAAACCAGAGGGTGTTGATTTAACTGGGGGTAAAAAACCGGCAGAAGCCAAATATGTTAGAAACCTAAGGGTACCGACTAAACTCAGGGTATAAAGGCCATTGGCAAAAGCCAAGTGGGTTAGAAACCCGAGAGTAAACCCTGAGGTATAAAACATGGGCAAACGCCAAATAGGTTAGAAACCCAAAGGTATCGACATTAGTTCTGTTAAAGTTAGATACCAAGGCCAAAATGGTTTAAACTCAGATGAGAATAAAACCAGGCTCAAGAGACTTGATTATGGTCAACGAAAATTGGAAAAACTTCCAATTCATGAATAGTATCGACAAGTTCAAGGTACAAAACCAGTGGCAGGAACCAAGCACTAAGATCCAAAATTGGATCAAAAGCTTTTGGTAGAAGCCCTGTGCGTTAGCAACCTTCCCATTTTTAGCCACTGATATACAATGATCTCGTGGTAACGACAAAGCGACAAGTACTCTCAAAACAAAGATCATTACACAATTATTCGTCTTCTGTTTTGAGAGTGGGGGTCATTGTTATGGAGAACGAAAATGACCCGAAACGAGACAAGGAGTTGAAGTCTGATTGGGGAAGACCGACCCGGGACATAACGGGCCGGCCAAAAGAGTGACCTAACGC